CATCGCAATGGAGAAATGACAGGCTACACAGTAGAAGCAATGAGACATGAAGAAGTAGTAGGGACTAAAAATGTTGCTAGTAGCGTTAGAGTAGCCAATGTCTCTGGATTGTCTTCTTCCACTGAATACATTTTCAAGTGGCCGCAGTGAATGGTGCTGGTATTGGGGTGTATAACGACATTTCTGTATCTACTGATGGTGAGCCAATTTCATTAGATAATCTAGCCTTTTACTTTTGAGTATTTCTGTCAGATGCTTTCACATCTGTGGTCGTAACTGCCACCACAAGTACGACAGTAACTATTTCAATGCTGGTTGGAGGAATAACTGTTGACAGCTTTGTCATTCACAACTCCAACACCAGAAACACTTTATGTTTTAATAGCTCAGGCTGAACAATACACACTGATGAACTTACAAGAAGGTGCACAGTATTCTATCACAATCAATGCATCACTCAGTCATGGGGTGATTGCAGAGGAGGCAACCACAGCCACTACAATGACTGCTGGTATATAGACCTCACAACGTTATCCGTCCTCTCTTTTATTCTGAACTCTTCTCACAGTTCCATCTGCCGCACCTCCATCTCTGACTCTGACTGGTTTAACCTGTTCCACCATGACTGTCCAGTGGGGAGAGGTGCCATGTATCCATCAGAATGGAGACATCACAGGCTACTCAGTCCAGTATGGAGTGATGGGGAGTGGGAAGTGGGAATACACAGACTAGGACTGTTGATGGAGCTGCCGTGAATGAAACCACTCTCTCTGGTCTGAATCAGTCCACTAACTACTCTATGAAGGTGGCAGCAGTAAGTAGTGATGGTACTGGAGTCTACAGTTCTCCTATCTTCATCGAGATCCCCCAGGGTTGGTCTCTGTGCATAATGAAACTGTTTTAATATCCCATTTTCAGGTGTATTTCTTAGTCTGCAAAGTAACATCATCCCTGACCATGGCTATGTGGATATCAGTGATATTGGCTCCACTAATGACACTGCTCTATTGTGCATCACTAACATTCTTCCACCATCAGCTGGTATAGTACTACTTCTGGTGGAAACTGGTTTGCTCCAGGTTGGACCATAGTGGGTGGTCCTGGTACTATTGATGTTCCTGGATTAAGCAGAAACAGAGATTCTATGGTAGTGAGACTGAAGAGGACTACTGGTACTGCAGCTGAAGGAATATATCACTGTGAGGTAATGGACAACACAGAAACTAACCAGAGAGTTTATGTGGGAATATACAATGGAGGAGGTATGTATTGGTTCACAAAATGTTCCTGGTGTAATGATTCTACACTGCAGGAGACGTCTCAATATCTGAGGAGCTGACAGTGAAGTCAGACCTCACTGGAGCCAGTCCTCAGTTCACCCTCACCTGTATCTCCACTGGTGGACCTGCTACCACTGTCACTTGGACCAGAGACTCCACCACTGTCACCCAAGGAACCCAGACTGTGTTGAATGACCCAGTGACTGCACAGTACACCCACACTCTGACTGTGACTAATGCAGGACAGTACACTTGTATATACTGTGGCTAACAACAAGCCATTTACTGCCTCAGCTAGCATCACATTGCAGGGTATCTACTGTAATGTGTCATTCACTAATGATATTGGCTAACTTTCAGGTCCACCGTCAATAGGTACATCTTTATTTTTCAGCTGCTGAGGCTCCCACTGATGTGGCAGCAGTCCAGGATGGTCCCACTAGTATCACAGTGACCTGGACTCCTCCCTCTCCACTGGGAGATACCACTGGCTACAAGATCTCCTTCACTGGAGGAGGCAGCAGTGGTAGTGAGATTGTCAGTGGTGGCCCTACCAACAGCTACACTCTGACTTGTCTCACCAATGGACAGACCTACACATCCATTGTAGCAATAGTTCCAAACGGACCAACAAGTGCTCCTTTTGAAGTTCGAGGAATCACATTAGGTTAGACCCAGACACTGCTGAATAATATGGTCTGTCACTGACTCATTCTCCATTCATCAGTGGGTGTTCCAGACAAACCAGTTGTAGACATGGACAGCATTGTGACCACACCCACTACCACCACTATCTTCTGGAGCCTTCCTCCTGATGTAACTGGCTCTGAGGAACTGGGAGCTTACAGAGCAGATGAGAAGAAGAAGAGGAGTCCGCAATGCTGAGAGAGGGACTAGTGGACAACTCCCTTCAGACCAGAACAGCTACACTATCGACAAGCTGAGGAGTGGAACTAGCTATGACATCACTGTCACAGTCATCAACCCTGCTGGGCTCTTCCACCACCTTCACTCGTTGTACTGAGGAAGTGAGACACATTTCAGTCAGAAACACTATCATTACCACCATTGAAGATAAGTATGGAAGTAACCACTGTCATTATAAAACATAATTTAATAATATTACAACCAGTGGAGAAACCTATCGGAGTGCACTGGTGGTAATGATATTCAATTTATGTTTTATTGTCATTCATTTCCAGTGATTGATGCCAACCAGGCAGAGAGTACTAGCTGTGAACGTGACAACACTTCACTTCTCACTTCTGCCATTAGTGGCTGTGGCTGTTGCCTTTATGATCATAACTTCACTAACAATCATAGTGGTAGTGATTCTAGTGCTGAGAAGTCGCAGTGGAAATCACTCTGCAAAAACAAGGCATGATCATACACTCTTACATTAGTATGACATAATAATTATGTCATTGGATTTGATACAGAGCTACGGTTAGAGCTACAAATCAATCAGTGGAGCTCTCTAAGATCTCAGAGGCAACATATGCGTAAGTCTCCCAATACGAAACACTGTGAGCTGATTTCTATATATACTACTGATGGCCTCACTCCAGAGATCCAGACCAGATCCAGACCACCAGCAATGATGCCTACTATGTAGTGAGAGGGACTGGAAGGACAGCTGAAGCTGATTATGAAGTACCAAACATTACCACCTCTCAACCTACCACTACTGCTGCTGGAGACTATGAACCTGTGTGACTGTGGACATGGCTTGTGCTCCACTTAACTCGTTGCACGCGTTTATTCCGTACACCCGCAACGTTTTCTACGCGGAATTGTTTTTAAATCGCGCGCGCGCACACACACCCCTTTATTACGTAATTTACGTGGCCACTATAGTGGCCCTCCCCGTACCGCGGAGAAAGATTAACGGCCGTTATACTGGCCTTCCGCGCGCAACGAGTTAACAATGTTTTTTCTACAGTATGAATGTCAGTACTATATTGTCAGTATGTACACCTCAACAGAAAGAATTTTGTTTGCAGTTTTAGCCAGTTACGTGAAATTTCGTGGGCATCGTTTCATCTCCTAATGTGTGCAAGCCAACACACCAGCAGAGCGCAACACATTAGTGAGTGACACAATGTACATGGTGTGTGTGTGGTGTCTACTTATGTTGAGTCTCCTCAGACTCTGGCCAACCATTCCTATATATGTCAGTGAAGTGGGGGATGATGGCAGTGGTAGTGTCTCACTGACAGGGTGTCCAGTATGACATCACATCCTGTTATTACTAGGAATGCGCACGCGCATTTTTTGCCTCGCGCCTGTCAGCCATCACAGTCCGATTGAGGCCGCTCGTGCGCGCGCTCTACTGACTGCGCGCGAAGCCAGGCTTCCTACGATTCTACGAATGACGGAAGTTACACTTCCTTTTGGTGACTAATTGACATTCCTAAGCGTGACTAATTGACGACGTACGTATGGCAGAGATGAAACCCTCCCAATTTGCACATATAATTGCTCCGGGTTGTGTTCTCGCGATATACGTAGGTACGTTCGTACGTCGTCATTTAGTCACGCATGGGAATGCCAATTAGTCACCAAAAGGAAGTGTAACTTCCGTAATTCGTAGGAAGTCTGGCTTCCGCCGTGCGCGCAGATTCGTAGGAAGTCTGACTTCGCGCGCAGTCAGTAGAGCGCGCGCACGAGCGGGACTGTTTACTCATTGGCTGCTGGCGGGCGCGAGGCAAAATATGTGCGTGCGCATTCCTAGTAATAATACAACCCGGAGTAATAGCCTCGCGCTAATGCGCTCGGCAATTATATGTGCAAATTGGGAGGGTTTCATCTCTGCCATCCGTACAGCCTGCGTTAACTCATTTGCTCAGTCGGTGGCTGTAGTGATGTGCAACAGATCAATGATGAGAATTGTGTCTCTGTTGAGTCTCCTCTGGTCTCTGGTGGAGGTCCACTCTGAGACCTTTCCCCGTCTCAGTCAAGTGGGAAGATCTGACTTTGGTGGCAATGATCTTCAGTGTATCACTGACCTGAACACATGTTGTACTAGTAGTGGTGGTCCTCATCCTGGAGACTGCAGTATTTCCCTGATGGAACTAGACTGCCATTCTCTAGTGATGGTGGTGATATCTATGAGCAGAGAGTTGACATACGTCGTAGGAACAATGCTAACTCACCAACTGGCATCTATCGCTCTGATATTCCAACTAATGATGTAAATCACGATGATGACACCTCAGTGAGAGACACAGTCTATGTGGGACTGCACTACCAGTGGAGGTAAGAAGTAGTTATAGTCGATGGAATGTCTCTATTGTTTTTATATAGGTAACGTCTTGATACCTGATGGTTTGACATTTACCTACCTCAATGGAGCCAGTCCTCAGTTCACCCTCACCTGTATCTCCACTGGTGGACCTGCTACCACTGTTAATGGGACCAGAGACTCCACCACTGTCACCCAAGGAACCCAGACTGTGTTGAATAACCCAGTGACTGCACAGTACACCCACATTCTGACAGTGACTGGGAGACTTGGAGGACTGTACAGCTGTACTGTAAGCTACAATAAACCTTCTATGTTCTCTAGAGCCTTGACTGTGAGGGGTTGGTTTCTTCTCTACAAGCCTTATAACTACGTCCTCAATTGTTAGTGTGCAATGTTCTCTAGTTTCCTCGGCTCCTGATGTTTGAGGTTCAAAGCGATGGTACTAGTGTCCTACTGACCTGGACCTTCACCTACACTGGAGGCAGCAGTGCTAGTTTGAATGTTGCTGGTGGAGATACCAACAGCTACACTCTGACTGGTCTTATATATAAGAGGGGAGACGTAAGACATATCGATTGTAGGCACATCAGATCACATCTCCAGTGAGAGTGTGGAGTTGAGTGTCACTCTAGTTCCTGGTGAGCATTATAACTAGTCGTTTTAGTGCCTAATAATAGAAGTGAATAGGTCTGACTGGAGGAGAGAGAAAAGAATAGAAAATTACTTATCCTTCAAGTAAAGTATTGTTTTTTGAAGGGCCATATTTGACGGTGGAAGTGGTAATGATGGGAGTCAGCTCCATCTCCCTGTCGTGGCGTGTGTCTGGAGACAAAGTGGTGGGTTCAGAGGTGGTGTGGCGAGCTATTAGTGGCCCTGGAGGCAGAGATTCCAGCGGCTCCATCACATCCACCAGCTACACCATACCTGACCTCCACACATTCTCTGTTTACAGGGTCACAGTCACTGTCTGCATGATGTCCTTGCGAAAATTCAGTGAATCTGCCATTGCCTTCACAGGTTATAGGTTTTTTAGTTATATTCTTGTCAATACAGTTCCTGCATGTGAAAGCAGTGGATCACCATCATCAGTAGCAGTAGCTGCTGCTCTTAGCGGTGTGTTGGGAGTGGTGGTTGTGACTGCTATAGTAGTGCAGGCTATGGTGATAGTCTATTTCATGAGGAAACTCCAAAGAGCTGAAGAATACACTGCCACTCTGCGTGCACGCGTACTAAAGAGAGTTGCTTACAAACACTGTGTAGTGTGCACAATTCTGTTGTCTCAACTTCTCATTGTTATTTTTGACATAATTATGTTCATCGGCAGAGGACTTCCTGGGTCACTCAAGACCACCAGCAACGAGACAAGAGAGTAAGCAGTGCGTGAGAGAACAGAAACTGATGAGCGATGCATATGCGACTGTGACTGTCCTAACTTTCACCTCTCACCCCCACTGCGCACACACCGTGTACATATGTGCCACTTATAAAAGTTAGCTGTTTGTATTATACTTGCACATGAGCTAGTTGTGTACACATGCTTTATTTGACCAAAAATGCTAGAGAAATGGAAACGTCATCTTTGTGAGGCAAGAACACACCTGACCTGAGTGACTCTATCCACTAGCGTATTATTGCTGAGTCCTCTGCTAACATAGCCCCTAGATTTGCTGATCACTACTAGATTTCAGGCAAGATAACCATTGCCCTAGATGAAAGCTAGCAGTAGTGAGTACTAGTCTATCAGCAGCACATTAAGATAATCAGTTTGATGTATATCGATTTCAGCCACTGCTCCATCTTGTCTACTGCGGCCTCACGCAACACGCGAACTTTGCCGCTTTATTGCATAGATGAGCCCTGACTGCTGCACACTGTGCGTCAGGCATGAAGTGCTTACCTGGTGGTGTTTGCAAACAACTCTATTCTACAACACATTTATTCTCTCTTTGCTCTCTCCATACTGTTGTTGTCAGTGTCTCAATCTCAGCCTCTCGACTCTTCCAAAAGCTAACACGTATGCATCCGAGTGAAATATAAACTACCTCGGTGACACAGCCGTGGAGTAGCATCGCACGTACATCGGTCTCAGTCTCTGGCATTAGACTCAGCTGGCTTCAACCAGTAACTGGAATGGCCACCTCTCTCCTATTGACACTTTTACTCTGTAGTAGGAGATAGAGCATGCTGGCGAAGATCATCTCACCAAGACCGGTGAGTTCCTTAGCTGTCACTCACGAGAGAGAGTAGTAGAAGTGTCTTGCATGATATAATGAATAAGCACACCTGAAGGCAGGCGAATTCTGCTTTTGCAACGTGCACGCGACAAAGTGATACGTCATGCGTTCCGTACCACTGCAAGTTGGATGGCATGGGTTGCGGTTGTAGCTTTGGCTGTTACTCGTGGTACTCAGCGCAGAGTCTGACGTGTGCTACTCCACTACTCAGACGCATGCGAGTAGGCGAGTACACGCCCTGACGTTGGTCATCTTCTGGTCCGTTGTGATTTGCAATTGGCTTTTCGAGCTCTAGACTTGCAACGAGCGTTTTCAACAAAACCGTTCAAAATTCTACCTTCATTGCCCTGCTTAGTAGCTAGGTGGGATACTTTGGACGACGAACAAAACACCCGAGAAGTGAGATTGAGACTACAGACACACAGACACACGACCAAATACGTAACCCTCGCTGCGCATGCGCGCCGAGGGTTAAATTATAGTACACAGAGGAACACAGCAGCTAAGATATCTAGCCTGAATTATACCAGTACGTTCACTTGCAAACACACACACACACATACTGTGTGCCTATAATGCACATAATGTACGTCTATGAGTATCATCGAGCCTTATGTGCCCACGCTCTACAAACCCCGGCAACATTATAGATGTATATACATCCACTGCACACGGCATGCAACACTTCACTCTGGTCGTATTTCATAGTGGACGATGGAGGTGAGAGAGAAACCCACATACCCAACCAGCCATTCTTTCACTGTCAACACGCATTTCGATGCTTAGCACTGACTGTATATGCAAACTGTTGTGTGTCGGTCTATAGGGACAATACATGTATAGCTCACGCGGTGCTTGGCCATGACACACAGTATAATATGATTGTAAGTAGGTCTCCATTCAGTTGAACCACTCGTCTGTTTGTAGCACTGCACACAGAGAGAGGGCTTCTCACCGGTGTGAATCACGTATGAATGGAGCGTGGACGTCGCTAGCTAAACTACATACAAACACAGCTAGCTGAGCTACAGCCACAGTACGTGTTTATGACACACACGGACACATGTGTCAGCATACGTCGATAAAATACCCGACAGTCTTCGTCTGACGGTGCTGTAGATACGAGTAGATATGTATGATACGTGGAGGACTCACACTGTACTCTCCCCGCACCCTTGTTTTCTCCCAGTAGAGACAACTTCCGTGTCGAGAGAGAACACGCTCGCAAGGCTACCAACTCTTTCGTTAGCGCCAACTACATTCATACGTGCGCTGATTCTACGCAGCATAATACGCCTAAACAACACACCACGAAGCCTAGCTATCTAGCTGCGAAGACATGTATTATTGTGTCCCACCTGGTGGAAGGTGTGTCTCCTCGGGTCTCTGGTGGCGGGAGTCAAACTCTCAGACATTCCTTATGTCTCCTTACGTGAGCCAGACTCTGGCCAACCATCCTATGTGGCCATCAGGAGTTGGGAGACCTGACTTTGGTATGGTCGTGGAAGGTGTTCAGTGTATGACTGACCTGACACCTGTTGTAGTCCGTCTGATGTGTCAGCGTGGCAGACTGGTAGTTCCTATGGAAATAGCCTGCCATTCCCTTCACTATGTTGATACCTTTGAGACTCGTGTACTCTCTGAGAGTTACATACGTCGTAACACTGATGCAAACTCACCAACTGGTATCTATCGCAGTGATATTCCAACTCATGATGGCCATGATGATACTGCAAACTCGCCAAGAGACAGAGACACAGTCTATGTAGGACGCTATATACTGCAATGGAGGTATGAGAAGAGAGAACGTACGCTTTATAGAGCTCACTAGCCAGAGTAGACTATACTTGAAATGGATGTGTGCCTGTGACATGACTGTTCTGCTGCCAACTTGGTCAGGAGATGTTCCAAGATCTGGAGGATTGGACATTTGACCTAGCAAAAAGCTGGGTCTGGAGCGCTTAGGCCCTCACCTGTATCTCCACTGGTGGACCGGCGGCTACCACTGTCACTTGGACCAGAGACTCAACACGGTCACCCAAGGCACCCCGACTGTGTTGTTGAATAACCAGTGATGCTGCACCGTACACCCACATTGCTGACAGTGACTGGGAGACTGGGAGGACTGTACAGCGGTACTGTGAGCAACATAAACATCTGTGGTCTCTGGAACATTGGACTGTCAGAGGTTGTGTTTGCTCTAGCTCGCCTTATAGATAACTACATCCTCAAGTGTTTGTGTGCAATGTCGCTAGTGGCTTCAGCCATACGAAACCTAATGTTTGAGCAAAGAGATAGGACAGGGTCCTACTGACTGGACCCACCTGATCACGGGAGACCACCACTGGCTACACATCTCCTACACTGGAGGCAGCAGTGGTAGTGGAGGACGTCAGTTGTGGAGATACCACAGCTACACTCGGATGGACTCACAACGGGACGACCATGACATCATATCCAGTGTGCACAATCTGAACACTATCAGTCGTGATGCCAGCGTACATTTGAAAATCACGCTATAGTAGCAGAGATATGTCCTACAGTCGTCTAAATATATCCCCTAACTCTAGTTGTGTGTTCCAGCCACTGAGGCAGATAGTCAAGCTGCAATAGAGGCGAGAACACTTCTGCCATGAGCGGTGGAGTAGTTGCTGTTGGCTGTGGTTCTTAGAATAGCTACTCACGAGACAGTCATAGGTGTTGCGATGGCTGAGAAGTCGCAGTGAATATACTCTGCAAAAACAAGGCAGACAACACTCTTACATTAGATATAAGAAAGTAATATATCATTGGATTGATACAGAGTACAGTTGGAGCTGCAAAATCAATCAGGAACTCTCAAGATCTCAGAGTAGCCATATGCGTAAGTTCCTATATGAAACACTGTGAGTGATTCTATCCATGATGGCCTCACTCCAGAGATCCAGACCAGCTCCAGACCACCAGTAATGAGGCCTACAATGTAGTGAGAGGGATGGAAGGACAGGGAAGATGATTATGAGTACCGACAAACCTTCTCCTCCCACACCTCTCAACCTACCACACTCTGTGGAGACTATGAACCTGTGTGACAGTGGACATATCTTGTGACACAGAGCCTCTCACTGAAACATGTGTTTGTTTGCAAAACAAAAAAAAAAAAAAAAAAAAACAAAAAAAAAAAAAAAAAACAAGAAAAGTCAATACAAGTTTGTACACTCAACACAAACAATTTAGTTTTTAGACATATGGTAAACTGGTGCGGAAATTCGTTCATCTCATAAATGTTCATCCCAATTCAAAACACACACCGCAGAGCAAGTAATATGGCATGCTTGCGCATGTGAAACGGAGAAAGACACGATGCATGTTCCAGGGGAGCAGGGAGACCCGTAGCGGACGATAACAACTTTCGAACGGAGAGGCAGGCCAGCCAAAAAAACGCGTGAGAGCGCGTTGTATGTAGGTGCGCAATCACGCGGCGGAGCCACGTTTGAGCGGGGGCGTGGCTGAACGCGGCGCAGCAGTCGCGGAGAGAGCTATGATGGAGCGGTACTTTAAACATGCGAAGACAACAAAAATAAAACTCAGATACCGGGGCTCTTATGGCTAGAGAGTGTTCAGGCGATGGATTCTACAGACAAAAGTGTCTCGCACCGTCTGTGGTCAGAGAGCTGGCCACGGCGTTTCAGGCACCGCAGGCCGAGGTTCCACTCGAGGAAAAAACCAAACAACAAAAAAAAAACAAAACAAAAAACTAAACCTACAAAAAACAAACAAAAAATAAACAAAAAAAAAAAAAAAAACGAAAAAAAACAACAAAAACAAAAACAAAAAAAACACCAACAAAAAAAAAAAAAACACAAAAAAATAAACACAACAAAAAAAAACAAACCAAAACAAAAACAAAAAAAAAAACAAAAACAAAAAACCCCAAAAAAAAAACCCCACTAACAAACAAACTCCTAAAAACACAAAAACAAAAAAACACCAAAAAAAACACAAAAAAAACAAAAAAACTCAAAAAAACACAAAAGCATTGGGGCGGTACAAAAACAAACAAAAAAACCACAACAGCGGAAAAAAACAAACAAAAAAAAAAAAAAAACAAACCACCA